TATATAAATATTGTGGCGTAATTGTCGAGATATATGGAGATATTTATTTATGGTGGGTCACCCTATTAATGGTAATATTTTAATACATGTATATAGTTAGTATTATAAGGTCCCGACTGACCGTGTTGACAGTACCGTGCGTCAAACGCCAACACGTCGCCGTAACAGATGGTTTCATTGGCTATTACCTCACGCCATCCAGGTTATATAACAACTGTTTCAGATCCTAGTGTAGTAAAAACAAGTAAAATGAAATTTTGAACTATAAAAAACGAAACGAAATAGGATCTGTGTTTTAATTAGATTGATGTTCAAACTGATCTTATCGGGGCCTAATTTGTTTGGATCGAAAAATGGCATTCACAATGACATTACTAGAATAAGGCTATGTTCACACTGATCTTACCTCAGTCGAATATGTTCAGATCAAATAATTTCATTCACAATGACTAGATTTTGTACAGATCTGATCTAGGCCTTTATTCACAAAAACGTTTTAAGAACATAGTCAACCACTAAAATTTGTACTAGTTATGGTGGGGTCCAGGGGCTAATTGAAGGGGATGTAATAATACATATCGCGTCATGGGTTTAGAGTTTTTGCGCCCCCTCTCAAAGGGTTTGTGATATTTAATGGTATTGGCACACATTTGCCATTTGTGCTCCCTGGACATAACCCCCAAACAAATAAACACAAGATGATTGGTCATTTATTAAACAGGCAATATGCAAGAGCTAAATCTGCCTATTTCACATCTTTCTTTAGGCCTTAAATGTTATACAAACAATTAACATATATAATCAAGTCTTGATGCCATTGGATAGGTCCGATTTTAAATAGATTAGAAAGGTTCAGCCATTTAATGATTCAATCAAAAAATAGGAAAGGGAGGCTAAGCTTCAAACAACCAGTACACACATCTTGTCAAACTTTCAAAGGGTAATTACTTGGCTCAGAATAAAGAAATTTGAATGAAATTTTCAATATATTCATTTTGCATTATCTTTTTTTGGACTATTATAGCAAAAACGGCCAGCTCTTTATCTAAAACTTACATAATGTATCTTTAAATAATGTCAGAAGCATGGATTCTGTCTGACACTAATTAAAACATAATTACATTGCTTTAAAGATACAATATGTGCTTATTAGAACTCTCAGAATTACCTGAAGAAGCTCATGCTTCTGGGGGAACTATGGTGGCTCAGTGAGTAAGATGCTGGCTCCCATATGGTTTCCCTGTTCAATAATGCTAGCCTGGAGGTTGTGGGTTCACTCCCAGTGATTTTCTGGCATGGTTTCCCTGTTTAATGATGCAGGAAGAAGGGCCTGACAAGGACAGCAGTCTATTCGTTCGGATGGAGCGATAAACCAATGTCATGTGTACACATTTGGTGTGCACGTAAAAGATCCCTTGGCAGTTGGAATTCGATATAATAGTAGGCTTACTTTTTGTTCAATTTTGTTTTGATAATATGCTTGCGCGTAGCGGTCTTTAGCTGTGGGAGAAAACTGGAGGTCCTCAGAAAACCCACAAGGTCGGACAGGCAACCCTACATCTTGTCACATACAGCAAGCAGGGAATCAAAACCTCTTGACCTCTTGACTCATTGATTGACCATTCGGTCACCCGACTGTGCAGATGTGAAAACACTTGATCAACTGTAAAGCTGGTCAATTTGTATGTCAAACTGTCCAGACTAATATGACAATGACAAAAAGGGATAAAGAGAATCTTCTATAATGGATTTTTACCTGATCAATATCTTACCTTTTTACCTGAATCAAATTACCTGTGTTATCTGAATACATAGGATTATAATCATTTCAATTCATTATAATTATCAAGTAGGTTTTACCTGAAATATCTGTGGTCTTTGTCTAGATGCACATAGAAAATTTTCTCCCGGTTTCTTGCAGCTGGTCTGCGAGCTACCAAACCCTTCGAACTAGGCTTTAAGGCACATGCTGGATCACTCCTCCCCCATCTCAGCATCATTTGTTCATTTGGATGGGATGAAAAACTAAGGATTGCATGCAGATAAACAAGCCTAGAAATAAGGCACCTGTCACAGACAATGTCAGGCATAGATTCAGGTTTTGTCAGGCACAAAACCTCTGGTACCTGTCATTTTTTCCAGCACTGATATGTCTTTTTTACTGATATTATTAATACATGTCCGGCACTAAGTTGACTTTGTCAGGTACTATTTCATTAGTGCCTGACATTTTGTAAGGTACATCTAAAAGCGTTATTTCCAGGCCTGCAGATAAAAAAATTTGACAGTTGTTATTCAAAGATCATAGACTGGCCGTAGAGACTTTTGGTTCTACACATACAAAATTTTCACTGGGTTTCTTGTGACTGGTCTGCGTGCTACCAAGCCCCACGACCTGTGCGGGTCGAAACACGTACGGTCAGTCATGAGCTAAGCTTAAGGCACATACTGGATCGCTTCTCCCCCATCTCAGCACCATTTGGTCATTTGGATGGGATGAAAAACCGAGGCATGCATGCAGATAAAACATGTATGGCGGATTGCAAATTAGGCTTAAGGCACACGCTGGATCGCTCCTCCCCCATCCCAGCACCATTTCATGGATCTTACTACTGTTATTGAGTCTAGAATCCAGTCATGGAATTTCCAGTGAGGTTTACCTATGTCTGGTGTAGGACAAAGTGTTTGGCTAGAAAAAGTGTCTAGTTGTTCAGATGGTATGAAAAACCAACGTCCCTTATGGCATGCAGATAAAAAATAATTTGACAGTTATTATTCGAAATAAGAGTGGGCTGTAGCACCTCTGTCCGGGCAAAACTTCCCGAATAGCACACTGCATGGCATATATCCATCTCAGCCAGGGTGCTACAAAAAAATTAGGATGTTGAACCCCATTTCAGTTCCGGTTGTACGTGACAAGGAGTAGGGTCGTCTGTCCAACCTCGTGGGTTTTCTCCGGGTCCTCCGGTTTCCTCCCACTGCTAAAGACCCCTATGCGCAAGCAAATTATTGAAATAAAATTAAAACCATATGTTAGTCCCGAAATGACCTAGTTTGTGTCAAGTGGACGTTAAACCCCATTTCTCTCTCTCTTTCTCTCCCATTTCAGTTAGAATCCCCCGTCTTCATTAGAGCAGAACAGTAGGATGTTAAACCCCATTTCATTTCGAATCCAGTCAGATTACATTCAAATGACTCTAAAATAAACAGAAATGTAAATAGATTTCAACAATTGCCTCTTGAGACAAAGATGTTTATAATACATAATGCTAGCATGTGCTTTTTCACAAGACAGAAAACATTTTGGCCCAATAAATTTTCTCATAATGTCAAGGTATTATAGGACACTGGAATAAAATATATTTATAGGGTAATGTATTATGGAAGTTAAAGGCTCAATACCACTCTTGTTGTAACTGAATAATATGTCCCAATCTTTATTCTAGTCAACAAATTGTACTATTTTACAATATTCCAATTAATTGGTGATATAAATTTCATCTTAACACACCTAATTTTAAAAAATTGGAAAAATTCAACTAAATGATTTGAAAAGCCTGACGTAAAGCTTTTCAAATGTGACTTGGATTTAAAAATATTTTTGAACCCTCTGGACAAGTAAAGTAGGATTTAATGGATAATTTACACAACAGGTAAGACACTAACACATCTAGTACTTAGAATAAGGCTATATATTATTTTCTGGAGCTGTCAAACCAGCCAGAGTGTTATTGTTCCTTTAAATAGGACCATATTAATCTTTTTTACCCAAGATTTCAATTTAGTATCTTGTTATATATTTACTGGGTGATTGATATATTTAACGGTATAATTATTGGGTGATATATTTGACAGTATAAATAATTATTGGGTGATATATTTGACAGTATAAATAAATACTGGATGATATATTTGACAATATATTTACTGGGCAGTATATATTTCACAGTATATTTACAGGGTAATATATGTTATATTTCACAGTATATTTACAGTATAATACAGCGACGCCATTGTCTTTTGTATTAACCCTGAAGACGGCGTAAGTCCAAAAAATCTTGGCACTAATGTAAAAGTTATTTAAATATAGATTATTTCATCCAAATTTTAGTATTTTTTGGTACAGGGCGATATATATATTTTTTAAAAACAATATTTTATTCAGAAATTGAAAGGGATTGAGGAACAGGCATAGCCTATATGACCCCTCTCTCCTAAATACAAGAATTAATATGGATATGTAAAAGAAATAAGTGAGTAAACAACAAAACAATACAATGAATACTTAATGAACAAAATTTTGTATATACATATTTACACATTGGCTACACAGTTGTTTATGTTCGGAATTTGATCGATATAGATGTTAAACTGATCTTAAAACCTTCTGCTGCTGTCAAAAAACATGTGGACCTTTTCAAAGATGGCTAACGAAGTACGACTGCTGCTTACACCGTATAACAGATTATGTGTATTGATAAAATTAGGTATTAAAAGATTTATAGATATTTTGCATGCATCAGAATGTAAGGAGTAATGTAGAGGAAAATGATCAGTATCTTCGAAGAAATGACTGTAATCACACCCGGGGCTGTCCGAAATATGCCTTAAAAATGTATGCCCATTTAGGTCACTGCAAGACAGACGAAGGCAACTATATAATATTTGATTTTTACGTTTGCCATATTAGATCAAGGTTATTCCAAGGGTGATATATGATATAATTGACATTATATTACAGTATTTGACTGTATTATATATTTGATAGTATATTTACAGGGTAATATATGATGTATTATACAGTATAATTTACAGAGTGATGTATTATATATTTGACAGTATATATACAGGGTAATACATGTATATGATATATTTGACAGTACATTTACAGGTTGATATATTTGATAGTATAATTACAGGGTGATATATTTGACAGTATATTTACAAGGTAATATATATTTGACAGTATAATTACAGGGTGAGATATTATATATTTACAGGGTGATGTAGATCTAGCATATAATCTGTTACCGTCTGCCAGACAGAACACACCACCAATATCTAGAGAGAATACATCTTATTCAACAGGTTTCTCAGTCAGGTCTGTATACTTTCTAATATTTAATTAGATACGAGAAGAGGGACTGCAGCACTCCCTTAGCAAGGTGACTATAGCTGGACAGGCTGATACATCTGCGTGGATACTGATTCAAGAAAGAAATACTGTTGAACAGGGATTCTTGAAATTCTAATATTTAATTACAAAGTAAAATGAAATAGAAACAAACTTGTTAAATGTGAAATACCACAAGTTTAACTATAAAGGTGCTGGTCGTCGAGGATCATTTCAATAAATGGTTCCGTTCAGTTTTTACAAAAATATGATGAATTGTAAATTGATATGGTAAAGGTGATATAACAAAAGCAGTGACAGAGGTGCTGGGTAAAATCTTTTCATTTTAGTCAGGAGTTATCTACTCTTGGTATTTTGGTTTTGTTTTCTTAATTAAATGTCAATTGATTAATGTGAGTGAATTCAGCTGTGATAAATTAGATAATGTCTCATTAGAAACTTTAATTTGAGTATGCAGTAAACATCAAACATAAAAAAAACTTCATAAAGGTTCATCAGGAGCAACCCTCTCACAAATTAACATTCACTCATCAATATTCCTAAAGAGGTATTGCCCGTATCACAGATTCCCTCTTTTCAAGGTATTCTTTAAATATTCTTCTACTTATCACAAAGTTCCCACTGAAATATGAAATTCTGTTTTGTTTTTGTTTCAAAAAATATTTAATAACGTAGATACTAGTGATGGAATTAGTGGATTGTCTTCAAACATAGGGTATTCTGCATTTGTTTTTTTTTCTTAAAAAATATTTAGTAAAACTCAAACCAGCAATGGAATTTGTGTCTGCATGGTGTTCCTGTATTCATTAATCAATTTAATGTGACCTCAAAATTGTTAGAACTTTCTGAATCTGGACCAAGCCAGTGGCTGCTCAGTTCACTTGCAAGGGATTACTACCAACACATCTTCTTTTTGAAACTTCATGATCTACCGTTGTATATAAAACTATAAAGTAACGATTTTGTATGATATAAAATATTTCACTCATAATGAAAAGAGGAATGGTGGGTTGAATGGGTTAATGCATAAGGTCCAGCATTAAGTCAAGTGGTGTGGTTTCGATTCCCTGCTTGTAGGAGTAGGGTCACCTGTCCAACCTTGTGGGTTTCCTCTGGGTTTTCTGATTTCTTCTGGTTGAAATAAATTGGAACTATATGTTAGTCCCAAAATGAATTATATTAAACTCTAGGTCTTCCGGTTTCTTCCCACTGTTAAAGTCCCGATATGTGCAACCAAATTATTGAAATAAAATGGAACTATATGTTAGTCTTCTAACCTCTCTCTCTCTCTCTCTCTCTCTCTCTCTCTCTCTTTCTCTGAACCACTCTATGTACCCCAAGGCTCTGTGTGTTCTCTCTCTTTCTCTTTCTCTCTCTCTCTGAACCCCTCTATGTACCACAAGGCTCTCTCTCTCTCTCTCTCTCTCTCTCTCTCTCTTTCTTTCTCTCTCTCTCTATCTTTCTCTCTCTCTATTCTTCTCTTTTTACTGAAAAAAAGTTAATACAATGTCATGCTTTTGTATGAATTGGTTGTGGGTTGCACTAATTCCTCCACATAATTATAGTCTTCAGAGAACAATATAATGAAATGAAATGGGGTTTATATATTGTCCTACTGTTTTGCTCCAACTGGGCTAATGAAGACCTGACAATATAAATGACTTCATTAAATATGATATAACTAATTAGAAATGCAACATCATTAGACTCTAGATTTCAGACTATTGATGAATTTATCTGGTTACCATGGAAACGAAATTATTTGCTAATGGCCTCATTTGATCTCTTTGCCATTAGGAGAAAATTGGAAAATTTAAGAATTTAAAAGAGAATTTGATATAAATTGACTGGTTAATGTCACTATGCGATGTATCTGTTTTACAGGACAATGGTTAAATCTATAAATGAACAAATGAACAAATGGCCAATATCCTGTAATAGAAATATGTGTTTAGTTCTTTTTAAAAGCTTAATGTATAAGTAAGAACGAAATCTACATATTTCAGGTCTTTGTTTTAGCGTCAAATGTTATTTAAACTATTATTTAGACATTTATTTACATTTCAAACCTATAATCAATTCTCTAGACAGAGATTCAAATGAATAAATTAATTTAAATGAAATTTTCAATATATTCAATTTTCATTATCTATTTTTGAAGTATAGCAAGAACGGACAGCTCTATTTTAAATCTTACATAACGCATCTTTAAATTTCATTATATAAAACAAATGGACGGTCTCCTGTAATAGAAATATAGGAGTATTTGTTTCAAGAGCTTAAAGGGGCATTAGGTAAGATTGACAGTTCTTGCTATAATACTTAAAATATAGATAATGAAAACAGAATATGCTGAAAATTTCAGTCAAATTGCTTCCCTCTGAACCAAGATAATTGTTGGTATGATAATGAACAAAGTCTCAATTATGCATTTTTGCGGGTTAAATTATCCATCACAAAATATATTCAAATCCACTAAATATCACAGGCTAACGATGGCATCGCGAGTTGACTATGGTCTGGATAAGTTAATTAATGTCTAATTAATAATTTAGATAACGTTTCAGGCCTAAAGAAAGACCTGCAACAGTCAGATTCAGCTCTTGCATAATGTATGTTTAATGTGAAAGTAAAAGCGAAATGAAATGAAATGGGGTTTAACGTCCTACTGTTCTGCTCCTAACCTGGGCTAATGGAGACGGGCATACCCCATACAGTGTGCTATGAGGGAAATTTTGCCCAGGCAGCGGCGCTACAGCCTACTCTTATATCGAATTCCAGGACCTCGGTTTTTCGTCCCATCCGAACAACTAGACAGCTGTCCTTGTCAGGCCCTCGATCCTGCATCACTGACAAGGGGAGACCACGCCGGAAAATCTGGATGAACTTTCTCGGCAAATGCAGGGATCGAACACGCGACCTCCAGGCTGGCGAGCCAGCGTCTTACCCACTTAGCCACGTGATCCCCGAAAGTAAAAGCGAACATCAGGATATAGGTGAATTGCAATGTGGTTTAACACATCCTACTTTTCTGAAGCAATTACCCACACAAAAATCGTGCTGTTTTTAATTATTTCTTTAGAATGTGTTTTTTTTCCAGACCACATACACCAAATCACATATTCAACCGCTAATAGAAAATCTTGATGCTGTCATTGTACTTCACTGCTTGTATCAGATATAATTTTCTCCTGATGGGAGCCACGGTGTCTCAGTGGTTAGCATGTGCGCACTGTATCATAAGGTCTGTTATTGAGTCAACTGACATGGTTTCGATTCCCCTGTTGTACGTGACAAGGAGTAGGGTCACCTGTCCAACCTCATGGGTTTTCTCTGGGTCCTCCGGTTTTCTCCCACTGATAAAGACCCCTACGTGCAAGCGAATTATTGAAATAAGATTAAACTAATTGTTAGTCCCGAAATGACCTAGTTTGTGGCGAGTGTACTTAAACCCCATCTCTCTCTCTCTCTCTCTCTCTCTCTCTCTCTCTCATGTTATAAATCAAACTATTGAATGTATTGTTACTTTTAAATTTTGTTGTTAATATGGTGTTTTCAGTTGTTATAAGGTTGTACACTAACTATAAATCATTCAGATTCTTTAGCTCTTGTACACAGATTATAAATCAACTTGGTTTTTATACCTGTTCTGTTATTTAAACTGAATAATAAATTTGCTGCCTTCTTCACATCTATTTTATATCTCAAATCGTTGAGAGAAAAACATGCAACTAGTCAAGAGATATCTCAACTCTCCTAGGCCCCTGATGTCAGGCAAAGAGAGAGGGAGGGTGCTTAAGTCCACTGACCACAAAGTACAGAGAGAGAGGGGGTGGACACAGAGCATTGGGGTACATAGAGTGAGAGCTTCAAAGAGAGAGAGAGGACACAGGGCATTGGGGTACATAGAGTGAGGGCTTCAGAGAGAGAGAGAGGGGGCTCCGAGCATTGGGGTACATAGAGTGAGGGCTTCAGAGAGAGAGACGGCACAGAGCATTGGGGTACATAGAGTGAGGGCTTCGGAGAGAGAGAGAAGTTTTAATGTCATTAGGGACTAACGTGTGGGCATACTTTTATTTCAATAATTTACTAACACCCACACAAACCCAGACTCAAACCCATTTCATGCATAGATAGCAGGTCTTATAATTTAAACCACATGTGTCAGACCACCTGGCCACCAAACACCCCTCAAGCTCAAACGATTTTGATTTAATATGTTTATGCACAGAAATACTTCCCGGTGTATAATTAAATGATTGTATATGCATTCAGGTCAGCTCAAACGATTTTGATTTTATATGTTTATGCACAGAAATACTTCCCGGTGTATAATTAAATGATTGTATATGCATTGAGTTCGGCTTCCTGGCAGTTTATCTTCAGTCTGATATATATTTATTATCTGTAGAAAGAAATTCTTAACATTTCCACTCTTTTTTTTGAAAAATGTCAATGCCACAACGGCAGGAACTCTTTGGCAAGAGTTTCTTGAAAACAATTTTTCAAGGGAGATTATTTATGTGTTAGTCGGAGGTTTTATAAATATCTAAGGTATGTGGAAGATAAAGGAGGCGTTAGGTGTAATATAGATTCTACCTATATGTGTGCTTTAACTGATTTAAATTAAAGAGGTGCTGACACTTTGTTGATTGTTGCTGACACAAGGCGGTCATTTTTGATAATGCACAGAAATTTTAAAAGTTCATATTTCATGGTTTTTATATGCCCACATGGAAATGTGGTCCTATATTGCCATCGCCTCCGTCGGGCCGTCGGTCCGTAGTCCACACTTTCTTGTGAACACTCTACAGATTATATTTATGATCTGATGTTTTTGAAATTGATATTATGAAGAATCCTATTTAATTTCAATAATATGCGTTAATTTCTTCTGGAGTAATGGCCCTTGTTTTACTTTATTGCACCTTGTGAATGCTCGAACGACACAAATTATAATCCGATCT